TGCTTTAAAACTATGTAGTGTCTGCTTGCATTAAATGCATATAAATTAGCCATGATTTTGTAGGGAATACCCTCCCTTTCACTCAAAATCCATGATTGTGTTATTGTTATATTTTTCTTTTCTTTTAAACATTTGTTTTATTTTTATGTGCATGAGTGTTTTGCCCGTGTTGTATGTGTGTGCACCATGTACATACATATACTTTACATAAAAATACATAGGACTTTAGGTGACTCCTTTCTCCTGGTTACTCTCAACCTATTGAGCCAAGATTACTGAAAATAACTTTTTCCTTATATTTCACAGAAAATAACTCCAGATTTGCTCTTTTCTTTCTTCTACATGTGTACTTTATATGACCATATAAGGAATATATAAAGTCACTGGGCAAATAAAAAAGTGTTCTTTCCCTAAGTAAATCAATACACAATAAAGGAACAGCAAGTCTTTTTTTTTTTTTTTTTTTTTTTGAGCTTAGTAAATATAGTCTCCTCTAGAGGAGTGTTATCTTTAATTACCACCTATTTGTAGGAAAATAGTGACGATAAATCAATTCAAGGTCTCCAGACTCTCCGAATATTAATGAAGATCTCCTCTAACAAAGGCAATCTGTGGGAGCATGTAGGTTAAAAGGCCAGCGTCAGAGTAAAATAATATTCTCTATTCACAATAAGGTCAGATGGAGTTTAGTCAGTCCCCTGACGGGTTCTTTTCAACAGGGAAACAAGCTCGAATAGGAAAACTGAAGGATGGCTTCTTTTAGATGTACGGTAATTACAATTTGTCCATGATGTAATGAAGCATCTCAGCTATGTTATTGCTTTAAAATAAAAGTAGCCTGTGATGCTGATGATAGAGGAGTGGGAAAGCCACACGGAATAACTTGCTGTGACAGGGTGCATCTGCAGGCTGCATTCTGTGGCTACCACCAGAAGATGGGGAAGGGTTCCTCTCAGGGAAGACACTAAAGCTGAGTTACTGCCAACGGGAATGAAAATATCTTAATGATATCTCAAAAAGAAAAAAGAAAAATGTTCGCCCTCAGGAAGGATTTGCTATTTTCCTGAAAGAAGGAACATGAAGTAGAAAAGTCCTCAGGCTCCATCCTTGTCATTAAGTTAAAAAAGGACCTTCTCCCATCTTTCTTCAGTCCTGGAGTTATCATTCCCTATAACCATTACACTCTTTCTGTTGTACAAGACTCGCAATTTGCTCTAATAATGAAATTTGTCTGCATTCTAACTGCTGTCATTATTGTTAAAATGAAACAGCAACATATGCTAAGAAAAAGCAGCTGTCTTAATGGAAAATATTCAAAGCTCAGCTTGGACTAGGGGGAAGAAATGATAGGCCCTTGGAAATGTATCAAAAGGGAAGATCGGCTGATGTCCAGCTAGATGGGGAAATGTATTCTGAAGCAAAGGCAGTGTGACCTCCTAAGAGCTGCAAATCTAGGAAGCTGTGGAGGCTCACTGTAAAACTGTTTCAACTTTCCTAAGTTTATAGGGTTCCCTAATAAGTTGCTGGGTGGTGGGGGTGAGAAGCAATCCTATTTGAAAGCTGTTTGTAACAGTGAAGGAGAAACAGGCAACCTCCACAGAATGGTTCTGCAAAAACAGACTAGGCAAGGTTTGCTGCTTTTATCTGTTAAGTTGAAGAGGGGAAAGATTGCCACAGCTTTTCTTCTTTTTGACCCCCAGGAAACTACTCTTTTTGGCTATATCCACTTATTATGAGTCAACAAGAAAGCATTCAGTAAAATCTAAAAAGTCATTAAAAATGACCAGGACATTTAAAAAATGATCAGAACTTTGCTGACCTTTCCACCATGTGCATATGAAGTATGTATGATATGTATCATAAGCCTTTCAACACAAATAGCTTCCTGAAGAGGTATGAACAAGACATGCTCATGTCTGAAGTTCTACCAGTGACTTTCTGGCAGTCATTTTGAACATATCACACACCTGCATTGCATAAAACAGGAAGTGTAACTTTGAAAGAAATTTCTTGACTACTAATGGATCCATAATGACCTATAAATACACACTCACTGTGAACCTACTATGGCATGCACAATGCTAAGCCTAGAGAAGAGGATATGAGCAGGACAAGTCACTGACTTCATGAAATTTATTTTAATGAAGAAGAAATACAGGAAGGCAATTTTATTTATTTATATTTTTTTCACGGAACATTCATTCAATATATTCTACGGTTTCCCCTCTCCCATCTCCTTCCAGATCCTTCCTGCCAACCCCCACTCCAACTCCATGCCTTCTTTCTTTCCTTAGAAAACAAACAGGCAAATAAAAAAGCAAACAAAACAGAATTTTAAAAGTGAAAAAGCACAAGAAACCCACAGACACAAAAACAAAACCCATAATAACACAAAACTAGAAACTATTATATACAAGTAAAAAAGATAGTAAGATTTAAAAAAAAAATGCCCAAGCAAAGCAATTTGAGACACATATCTGCAAACACACCATTGAGTTTGTTTTGGGTTGGCCATCTACTGCTTGGGCATGGGGCCTATACAGGCAGGCAATTTTTAAAAAAACTTAACTCATTTATAGACACAGAGTTGTAATGGGGAAGACCCCTTTACTTAGAGGCTTAGAGATCCCTCTGGGGAGAGTGCCTAAGTGTAGAGGATGACTAGTGGTGATCTAGGCTGGAGACAGAAGACAGGATTCCATGCTGAGGTGACAGCAAAGTGCACATGGCTTGGACATGGAACTACAGGTGGGCCAGTGTCACTGAACAAAGCTCATGGTACACAGCATGTAAGGAGGCTAGGGAGGGAGGCACTGAACATCCCATAGATAATCTTGGGGATATGTAAAGGAGTTTGGGATTTTTCTTGGCTTTCCAAAGACTTTTTTAGAAAGGGGATGCCATTTTTAGATTGTATCTTTACTAGAACGCCTTGGTTGGTTCCTGTGAGGATAAATTTGAAGGGGACAAGATGGCTAGATAACAGAGTAATGGAATGAAGACCTGAACCACCACAGTGATAGTAATGTAATTATGGTTTCTGAGAAGGACCAGACATGGCACTGCATGTGGGGGGTAACTAATATCTGGCTTGGGTGAATGTCAACCTTATCCCAACCAACATACATAATACAGAGAAAAACACCAAGCAGGTGGAGAAGATGATGCATTCAGCTCTGGATGTACTGGACTGGATAGGTTTCTGGGTTATCTGGGGTTTGATTCCCAGCAATAACATGGTGGCTTCTAACCATCTGTAACGCCAGGTTCAGGGATTCTGACATCCTCTTCTGACCTTCATGGGCACCAGGAACATACATGGTACACAGACATACATGCAGGCAACTAACATGCATACATAAAAAAAAAAAAAAAAAGAATTTCTAAGAAATCTAAAAAGAATTTTCCAAAGTATATCCCCAGTGTTTAATTATGTTTAGAAACATTTTAAAATGCTTATCTGATATTGGCATATCTTATTTGGTGTCATTCAGAATCTTTTGCCCATTTTTTTCATGTTGAGCTTTTTTTATCGCATTTAACAATTCATTGCATTTTAATTCATCTTTGGTTTAGGTTGTATGTGTATGTGGTGTGGGGGAGGGGGGGTGGGGAGGTGGGCATGGTACAGGCCTTCAGAGGGCAGGGGATAACTGTAGAGCTGCTTTTCTTCCACCCTTAATTGGGTTCCAGGGATCAAACTCAGGCTGTCAGACATGTGGAACAAGTTCCTTTACTGGCCGAGCCATCTTGCTGGCCTTGCTTTTTGCATTTTGAGTGGTGTTTTTTTTTTTTTTTGTTTGTTTGTTTGATTGTTTCATTTTGCATAAGTCCTTTCTTGGATTTCTGGTGTGCAAACACTTTTCTCTTGGTGTATGACTTTCGTCCTTTGCGGGGCGTTTTTATTTTATTAAAGCACAAGTTTTTTGTTTCCTCTCTCTTTACCATGTCTTTGATGTCATACCTAAGAAATCTTTGCCTAAACAGGTCACAGATTTCCCCCCTGTGTTTTCTTCTAATTTTAGGTCATTCTATTTACACCCATGATATTTTAAGAGGCATGTGTGTGCGCGTGCGTGCGTGTTTTAATATGGTGCACAGAATAAATCAATGTACTTGGAACAGAGAGAACCAGCTTAGAAGGGCTTACAGGATGGGAAGTGCAGAGGTCAAACCTGGTAAAAGGCCAGGCTTAGGGAAGCAGGGCTGGGCAAGAGGGCACACCGCACTGAAGCCATCCAGAGATAGCTGAACAGCCAGCACTGTGTACCAAGACAAGCAAACTGTCTTTCCAACTTGGATGAAGTGACCAGTGAACTTAAGAGCGTCTTCAGCCCACACTTTTCCCTTAGTGGAACTGCGCGTAACTAACCAGTCCCTTTATAAGAATCTCAGCAACAGTCGCTGAGAGGTCCGAAGCACTTTTTCTTTTTTCCTGTTATGCCCACCACCTCCCCTCCGCCACGGCGTTACTTTTTTTCTTTCTTTTTTTTTTAAAATTACCCTTTTGTTAGCATACTAAGCAACGGGCTTCGTGCTGACATTTTTCATCCGCATATGTCATCACACTTGTACTTAGTCATCCCTTGAGCACTCTTCAAAGGTCATTCTCGATTGCGGATGCCCTGGGGGGCATTCCGGCATCAGATGCTGGGAACAAACCTCGAGAAGGAGTCACTGCCTTCCCCCGTGGGAACTCACAACCACAGTCGGCGGGGCTCGCTCGTCAACCTGTCGGCTCTCCAGGGGGACCGCTGGATGAGCCACAGCAGATCCACGGCAGAGCCGGGGTTCGCATCCGCGCCAGCGCGGGGTCACTTAGGGAGGTCGCCCCGGCGAGCCTGCGTCCCCGGGGCTTTTGGGGAACTACTGCCTCCGGCCAGAACGCCCCCGGGGATGTTCGAGCCCCGGCTCGCCGGGAGCGGAGCGGAGCGTGGGCTCGCCGGCTCCTTTCCAGGCGCACAGCGGGGCGCCTTCCCGACCTCTGACCCCTGCCCCAGCTTGCACCGATCCGTCCCAGCCTTTGGCGGGAAGCGGTGGCCAGCTCCGGGGGCGGCCTGCCTCCTCCCTTCCCGCCAGTCGTAAAGTGCTGGAAAGGGCCCCGCGCTTTACGGCGCCGTCGGTGAGACCCGGAAGGTCTGTCCCTGCTGGGCGCGTGGTTTTGGGAGCTGCGGTCGCAGAGTCGCTGCAGTGAGGCTTTGAGGGGCGTTAGCGAAGCACCTACGGGTCCCTAAGCGGGTAATTGGATCCAGCTTCATGTGGAACAGTCATTCCAGTCGTTTCTAAGAGTGTGCATGATAGCAGGGTCTCAGGCGTCACGTGCGGTGCGGTCCCGTGCCCCAGCAGCAGTGTTGATTTTTACCTTCCTCCCTAGAACTTTAGGCCCCCGGTGTTAGCTGACGTTTTGTTGTTGTTGTTCCCTTCGCCCTGCAGTCTCCCTGTCCCTGGAGATCGAAATGCTTTACCTGATCGGCTTGGGCCTGGGAGATGCCAAGGACATCACAGTCAAGGGCCTGGAAGTTGTGAGGCGCTGCAGTCGAGTGTATCTGGAAGCCTACACCTCAGTCCTGACTGTAGGGAAGGAAGCCCTGGTACGTGATTCAAGCCCCCAGGCCTCTGGGGAAGAACCCTAGCTAGCATCTGATGCTCATACACTAGACTGCACGGAGTCTACGCGTCTGCTTTTTTAGACCCTTTAAAACACACACCCTGGCTTTGGGAGAACAAAAACGCACTCATACACTAGCACGGTGACTTGGGAAATGAAACGGTGGTTTGTCCTGCTTTACAAGTCTAATTTTGTGTGGCTTTCTCCAGTAAATAAAAAAAAAAAGGAAAGTTATTTTACACTCTTGGGGATAGTTATCAGAATCTGTTATTTCATGAGCTAGCCAAGAAATCCTTTCTGAGTTGAGTGCTAATGAGGTGCTGCCACAGCCTTAATGAGTTGGTTATACAGTCAGCGAGCAATCTGAAAGCTTCCTCCTTTGAAGTATTTCCACTGGGAACGGTGGTGATAGCCTTTCTGTCTGCAACATATCCAAAGAGATCTTACTTATAGTCTCCCAGGAAGGCTGGCATTCCCACATGTGTAAGCCCCAGACTAAGTATCCAGAGGATTTATTAGTGCGTTCTATACCTTGATAAGGCTCTCATTAAGGCTAACTATGTAAATAATAAATATGAGCAGAAGGGTCAGTTTCTGGTTGATTGTCAAACTCAAAGTGGAACGTATATTGAGGTAAAGGGCTGATGGGTGTGTTGTGGGAGGAAGGGAAGGATTTTTTTAGATTGTCACGTCTTCTGAGTAAAAGTGTGAGCCACGGAATTTCTGGTCATTCCTCCCGGATTCACCAGAGAATTCTGAAGGTTGCAGAGTTACTTTAAAATTTTGAAGACTAAATTAAGGCTTGTTCTTGAATTGGCCATGCATTACAATAAAAACAGCGTTGAATGCCCAGCTTTGACTTGCTGGCCACGATCACTGGTTTTTACTCTTAACTTCAAGATAACAGAACTGTGTCACCCTCAGTAATCAAAAGCCATAACGAGTTTAAAACCATCTGAGAGAACAAACAGGTTAATAGAATAAGGTACTGGACAATAGCTTTAGGGGGAAAATGGGATATAGCTTGGTTTTGCCTTGTGACACGTCCTTGGACAATTCCTTTACTTTTCATTTCTTGCTGTATGAATTGACCTCAGAAGTGGCTGCCTTCTAGGCTCCTAAAACAGTGCCCAGCACAAGGTTCTCGGATATTTTAGTTGTTAGTGGATACATTGCCAAACTTCTCTCTTCATTTGTCAAAGAGAAATAACCAATTGGGAGGTATGTAGTGTTTTATTAAGGTGTATGTGAAAATGCTTTATAAATAAATTATAAACGCTAGTAAAGTATTAATTTTCAAAGTTTTTTTGTTGTCCCCCAAAACATATTTGTAGTTATTTTAGTGATAATCAGGGCTTTGGTCTGACCCTACTTGTAAGTATGTGTATTTTTTTTTCTTTTCTTTTCTTTTCTTTTTTTTTTTTTTTTTTTT